CCTCTGCATCCTTCCCTGCTCTGTGAGCCTTGCTCACACCATCACACCACATTATGAACCAGCAAGGGATAGGTGCAAAAAAACTGCAGCATTTCAGGGAACCACATGGGTGTTTGTGCAGGGATGTACAAGCACAGTCACCACTAGCACTTCCTGCAAGTTTCCCTTCACTTAGGTGTAGAGAACCTAGAAATTATAGTGCTACTTCTTGTGCTTTTGTGAGTCTCAAGCAGAGAGCAAAGGGATAATTAGAGTGTCATCCTTAACAGATGGTGGGAGAGGGGATGAGAAGAAGGGAACAAGCACACCAGCCTCCTGCTTTCAAAGCCTTCTGCACTGCATCATCAGATTAATTAGTTTGATGGGTTTGGTGCAGTTGGTTCAGCAAAGAACCAAACACAGAAGAGGGACAAGTTACACGTGCAGCCTGAGGAACACTGACAGTATTTGAGCAGGCAGAGAAGAGCAGGTACCAACAGAATAGCTGAGGATGAGGCAAGACAGACAGTGACGGTCTTGGTTTGAAGCAAACAGGCAGCCCATGGTGGAGGCTTCAGGCTGGACCTCCAGGGAGGCCCAATGGGGCCAAAGAGCCTCACAGCTGCACAGGGAGGTTGCCTTCCCCCCCCTCTACTTTGTCTTTATTAAACTCTCAATCTCACTGCAACAGTTGGGGATTATGGAAACTCAATCTGATGCCCAAGTCCTGATGCCTGTTGCTTTGTCTGCTGTCCCCAAGGAATGCAGTGATTTCCTACTTTATCTCCCTTCTCTCCCCTTGCAGGAATCCAGACAGCTGATCAAATATGAAGATTTGCTTGAAAAAAAAAGTACAACACGGCCCAGAGAAGAGCCTTCACTCTGCTGGCAGGTTCATTCAAAGGGATCACAACGTGGTGCATAAGGAGACCTTTGTCTCTGGAATAAAAACTCCATTTCAGCTCTCCTTTGGCCATGATCAATAGAAGGAAATTAAAGTCTCATCCTGGGCAGGGGGAGGAGGGAAGTCAGCTTGCTAAGACCATGTTGAAAGATGCGGTAATGGAGACCCAGAGCAAGTGTGGCAGCCGCACCACCTCCTGGTCAGCTTGGAAACTACGGAGGCAAAAAGCACCAGGAGGGAAGAGYTCCTCAACTCCAGGCACAGCTGCTCCCAGAGACAGCCAAGAAAAGGACTAATTCCTAACGTGAGCCATGCACAGAGTAGTCCTTCCAAACCAAAACCAGCTCCTCACAGCTCCTGCCTGAGCCTGGGGCAGCCACATTCCCCAGACACCCAGATATTGTCCATTCAGCCTCCATAGTTTCCTTTCTCAGGAATACACAGGACCAACTCCAACAGCTTTGGACATGTCTACATCCATTATCCTACATAGCCCAGGGTATTCTCAGGATACCACCTCCCCCTGGCTGCCAAGGGGCTGTAGGGCTGGTTTCAAGARGCAGAACTTCCCCTGCAGCCACCCAGAGATACCACGATAGTGATGGGCAAGTTTTCCCCACACAGAAGGCTGATTATCAGCTCTCCAAAACCCACCAGCCTAAACACCCCATAGAGAGCTAGTAGCATTTTCACCATAGCCATAGTAAAATGATACCCACAGTCCTCCCTCTCAGCCATGGTCTGGTGTTTTGGCGTGCCAGCAAAGCTAAGGGTCAACTGCCTTCATTCTCTCCCAGGCCCACATCTCAGGTTGGCTTTGCCAGTAGAATGAGAACCTGAATCATTCTGTGAGATAAAAGACTATTTGCTGCCCTCTTCTGAGCAGTCAGATTACAGCTCTTACCAGTGTTGACTTGTTAAGGCAGTTATTSAATAAGCAGAGTTATATTTCCAAAATTTCATACAAAAATGAATGGTATCTGTATGTCAAACAGCTCTGACAGGGCAGGCCAGAAGCAATCACTGATATTATGGATGAGGACATTATCCTGCCTAAACTATTAGCTATTCACAAAGGCCATTCTTGGCATTTCAGGTGTATAATTCTCAAGTTAACCCTCTTATATGGAAAAAAAAAAAAAAAGAAATATCTCCCACTATATTCTGTTCCCAATAACCACAAACATTTTAGAGCAGAAGACCATGAGACATAATAAAGAAATCCATGAGTCATGTTCTCATTTAAGAAAGTGACTTGAAGATTCTTTGGACTAAAACCACTTAAGTCTTTTACAGTCTCTATCAGCACTATATTCTGTCCTTTCAGGCAATATATATCCTTATGTAGGCATATAGCATGTGTGCACATACTGCAAAACACAGAAAGCAGGTAGCACTTGTAAGGCTTAACTCCGGGTCCTGAGCCAAGTTTAGTTCCTCAGTTTTTCACCTCAATGCCTCTCAAGAGGCAGGAACTGCTTGGAAGCCCCCTGTAGCCCTCCAACAAACCTTGCAGGCCTGACACCCGGGGGTTAGGCTGGCCTTGATATTAAGAGAGGATTTGTGAAGAGCACAATCTCTGCTGCATTTCACAAGCTCTGAACCCCACTGTCTCCCCTTTGAGATCACTGAGCACTCCTGGACTGTGCCTCCCCTCTCAGAGACAGCCAGCTCTCCCTTGGGCAGCAGGTTGGGAAGGCATCTGCGACACGCGCCTTKGAGCCAGGAGCCGCCAAGACACACAGCCTCTAGATTTATGGATTAGACGTGCTGCCATGGCACACAAATCACTCTGCACTCACTGCAATTCATTATCACCATGCTATGGTTGGTTACCCTCCTCACAGGTGCACGAGATACTRAAAAGCTTTTAACTTTCCACGTGCCAAGACCTGGTGATGGATAGTCAAGCTGCCTTCCCAGGGAAGTGAAACCCAAGGCAGCAGTTGCTCGTGGGCACAGGGAGCCGCAGAGGTTTTCCAGCAATGCCGGCAGCCGGGCAGTCACCCCCTGGCATCCCGCCCGCTCCTGGTCTGGCGGCTCCAGCCAGCTGGACCCAGGCACCGCCTCAWTGCCTGACCCGGGAAAATTCACTTCAGCTAAAACTCCATCAGCAAAACTGGCGTATTTTGCAGAGATATTGGAAAAACAAGGGACCAGACTGCACTGTATTAGATTTTTGCTTCTGGCTGTAGTGACTTGAGGGAGTTTCTCAACCTTTGAGGCYGCTCTCACACCACACAGAGGCCCTCGTGAGCATAGGCAGCACCTTAGGGGTGCAGGCTGAGCAGAAACAGCTCCCCGAGCTGATCAGTTTGCCAAACAGTCCCTTACACAAACAGCAGCTCCCCAGGCTAGCCGCATTTGGGATCGGCTCTCAAATCTGAAAGGCCATCACTGAACATGATGTTCAACCCATGTTTCAGACCTCCATCACAAAATAACCAGCAACTGCATGCAGGGAGAAATAACATGGCAGCATTCACAGCCTCTGCATACACAGCTACACAATCTCCAGATAAGAAGTGAGATGCTCACTTAACATTTTAGATGATTAAACACTTGCAGTAAAGCCAGGAAGGGCAGCGGGGACTCCCAGCACCTAGGGACACCTTCCCACAGCTGCCATGATGCACACAGCATGACCAGCAGCCACCCTGCAGCCTCACCTTCGCGAGCCACACGGCACTTCACAATACATGTGTGACAAGAACACATCTTCTTAATTTTTGTTCACCCCTAGACAAATTGGAGAGAAATAGCTTACACTTTCTCTTAAAAAAAAAAAAA